AGAGAGAGAGAGAGAGAGAGAGAGAGAGAGAGAGAGAGAGAGAGAGAGAGAGAGAGAGAGAGAGAGAGAGAGAGGCATAAAATAATTCATTTGCATTTAATTGTAATGGTTCAAAGAATGTTCGGAAAAATGTTCGGCCCTCCAGCACGTTCACTTCATCCAATCTGGCCCTCTTTGAAAAAAGTTTGGACACCCCTGCTGTAGTTCAAATGTTTGACTTACTTTGTAGCTGGTAGTATAGAAACAAATTGTTTTATTAATATCAATGCTCTTAAACAATACAGTACTGTTATCCATAGAATATAGTCAGTCAGCATTATAGTCAGATATGTTTTTAGGACAGACTAATGTTTTATAACTATAACCTATATGGTGATCAGCAGATTCCTCTCTTATACTGCAGAAGAACTATTTGTGGGGAATTTTTAAACAATATCTTGATTCATTAAACTGGTCATTAATAAATTAGCCATTAAATAAAATACATTTCCTGATTATAGGAACATTACATTTCCTGATTATAGGAACATTATTTAAATGTTAAGAAGCATAAACAGATTTCTTGTTATCTCATGCACACCCTCTGGAAATTGCATTTCTTTCTGTCACCACCAGAATTTTAATCTCATTATTGAGCAAGTCACTTTATCTGCAGGATTTCTCTGCTAAATCAACTCAACAGCATTGTTAGCAGTGAAATTTGCCCCTAGGATGACCACTACCGATTTCAGGGTTTCAGAGAAAGCTGTGGCTGCCAGTCAATTAAATTAACCGCACACTAAAATAAATAATATTTGCATGTTCATTTGCATATGAATAAAACAAAGTCTCTGAAAAGTTAGTGTGCAGCATCTCTTGCAGGATAAGTCCCTGCTAAGATCATGCTTTCTACACGTAGCAAGATGGGCAACATTTTCATTACTAGGAGCTGTTTTTTGTTTTTTTTTTAAAGTGGGATTTTGTGGCTGGCAATATCCTGTCCCTAGGCTGAGTAAAGCCGGGTTTCAGCCTTTGTTTGTGTTTTGATTATCCCCAAATAAGAAAATAATTAGTGGTTGGAGAACAGCTTCAAGAATTTTTAAGAGATAACTTGGAAGTCTTCAAAATATCAGAGTGCATCTGGAGTGCTCTGAAGGGACAAGCTGGTAACAACAGCTAGAAATTACAGATATCTGCATAAAAAAGAAATAAGTGTTGGTTGTTGGAGGTTAACTCTTAAGGAGCTACTCATTCCTTTAAATTAAATTACTTTTTATTACTTAAATGCTCATTCCTTTACATTTCTATGCTTCTTTTGGTTAAACAGTGGCCTTGAAGGATCTAAGTTCAGTTTACAGTATTATGTATCCCCTTATTTGAAGTGACCCTTTGACATTTATTTGGCCTATATTATGGCAGCCTCTTCACTTTTGCCAGGCTAGTGCTTAAACTCATTTTGCACTTTTTAATGTTTTGTTTTCTATCTAATTGTTTTCCTGCATTCTTTCACTGAGTTCCATTTTTCAGTATAGATTATTATATTTGTTCTTCGCAGTATAGTGGCAAGAATGGAACTCCTGTGAAAATAGAAGAATCTGGATGTTCATTTGCTTTCTTGTAATCTACCTAGTCCTTGGTTAGCATTCACAACTTCTGGAGGCAGGTTGTCCCACTGATTAATTGTTCTAACTGTCAGGAAGTTTTTCCTTAGTTCTGACAATTAAAACAATCAATCAGTGGAACAACCTGCCTTGAGAATACTTTGACTTTTGATGGAATGTTTGACCTAGTTTTTGGTCATCTTGATGTTCTCCATCCCTTGCCAGGAAAAAATTCGGGTGAATTTGGAAAACAAATTAAATTGTTTTTGTGCCATTTTCATTTCTCATAATAAAAGAATTGCCCCCTTGTGGAGGCTGCCTTACTATAGCCTTCCACAGTACTATTGTTATCTAACTGTTTTGGGGGAAGAATATTAGTGACAAAAATTTCCAGTCCATTCAGCCATTATGGTACATTGTCTACAAACAGTAGAGGTATCAGAAGAAGATGGTTGTTTTAGGGAAAAAAATATATCTGCAATAGTGCACACTAAGATTCATTTTGATTTTTTTAGAGCATTAGAAAATATGAAATATAAAAATCAGGAAAATGTTTTTTAAAAAATATTTTACTGTCCTTTCCCAAGAGCATGAAAAGTAGTAGAAATGATTATCTTTTGAAATATTAGTTGAAAATCCAAATTTAATATATCAAAATGGGCAGAAATTCTGAGACAACGTACAATATTACAGTAGTATACATTTCAACAGTGAAGAGTGAAGTTATCGATATTTCTGCTTCAAATCAAAGCAGTGTTCTTATTTAAGTGAATTTGCTACTGAATTCACAACAGTTGATATTCCTCTATCATAAAGTTGATATTTCATTCAAATTCAAATGTATTTAAATAAAAATGTAAGGGGAAAAATAAAATATAATTAGGAGATTCCTCAGTTTATAAATTTGTACCTCACTTAAGCAAAAATAAAAACAGTCCATGGTTTGGTGCAGTTTTGTTGAACAATTATTCTTGTCTATGCTATTCCACCAATTTAAACCAATTTAAACCTGTTTTTCCCCTTGTCTGAAACTGGAACAAAACAAATGAAAAAGAATTCCTAATGAAAAAAAGGGCGGGGGAGTGGAAGAGTCCTTACCACTCATGGAAATATTTGGCAATGAAACTACTGCACAAATCAAGAAAAGCAGCCATGTGGCCTTTTGTTAAAGACCATGGAGATAGGCCGAATGGAGAGGGGTTTTTTTTATCACGCCTGCTCAAACAACCACTTTGTGCTAATGTGTTTTCTTGTGGATTTGCCAGGTGACCTCTGATTCACAGGCACCCAGCCAATTCCACCACAGTAACTGTTCCTTAAACAAGCATAGCAAGTGAAGTCAGTTTTTGCTACTGCTTTCCAGATGAAACACTGATTTTCATGGGGGGGGAAGGGTTCAGCTGGTGGTGAATATATCCTAAATTTAAATAAATGAAGTACCTCAGTGCAAGACCAAAAGATTGCTCACAGAACACCAGAACTAAAAAGATATCCTTTGATGAGGTTTTGCAAGGTACTTTTTGTCTCTGTGTGTGTGTCACTCTTTATACCATGGAGTAGTAATTAGCTTTTAATACATGTATAATGTAGGATAGTTTTGTAAGTAAGGATTTTAGGGTCTGAAGTTAATCCAGTTCACAATATACAATTAGTCCTGAGATTTATATGCAAAGGAGTAATCATCTAGGCTTGTTCCTGGTTTTTCTCCCAGAGAAAGGGAACGCAGCCCGAGCTGTTCAGACAACATTGTATTCATTGTCAGTAAATACAGAACCCATTCTAGGACTGAACTAATGCAATGAAGTGATAGGGGTGACAGATCTGTAGCTTTACACAAAAGAGAGGCTAGTGAGAAGTGAAAAAAATAAGATGCATACTTCATGTAGTGCCATGTTTTTGTGGCTTTTTTTTCATTGAATAATCAGGAAATTGATTGTCCTACCAGCAATAATTTGTCATCATTTGTATTTTTAAAATAGATTGGGTTGATAAAAGTAGTCATAGAAGCTAAGCTCAATATTACAATGGTAATGCCCTAATACGTTAACTCACCATTCAGTGTTTTGCATTCATCTCTATTGCTCATTTGTTCTAAATAAGACAGACCACAAAATGGTCAAATGCTTTGTCTACCATCTAGTGCAGGGGTCTTCAAACTTGGCCCTTTTATGACTTGTGGACTTCAATTCCCAGAATTCCTCAGCCAGCGTGCCTGGCTGAGGAATTCTGGGAGTTGAAGTCTACAAGTTTGAAGACCCCTGATCTAGTGCCTCTGAGCTTAGCTTACCTTCTGAGCTATTAGGAACACACTATCCATGAAGGCAAGTCACCTAACAATAACCTCTAGTGAAAAATGACTGCCCTGATCAAAGAACTGGTATAAAAAGCTTATTTGTTTCCAGTTAAGCCATGCTCTAAATCACACGTAGTTCAATATTCAGAGTGTCTTGGATTTCTGGTCTTGCTTTTAGTTCCGAGTCCTAATTTATTCTTGGGCATTGCCTCCTGGCTTGCCACTGACTGGCACTGTGAAACCAGTAGTAGGATGTGGCCTAGGTATTTATTCCCATTGCCATCTCAACTAAGCTTCTGGGTGAAAAAAAAACTGGAGAATTATCTTTCAGATTCAGGTATCATTTTATTTAATATATGATAAAACTTTAATACTAAGTAATGGTTGCTGCAAAGTCATTTGTCTTTCATTTTTCTTTTTTCTTTTAAAGGCAGAAAGGGAACCGAAGGTGGTTGGAAGAGCAACGTAAAAGCAAAGGAGCAGTGGGTGGAAGCAGAACTCATTCAAGGTGAGCTGAACAAAATTAGCTACATTCTATTAATACCTTCAAGACTTTTCTTTGGACTAAGAAGCCAAATGGAATAGGTACAAATTATTATAATGAACACAAGAAATTATCTTAGAAATAAGAAGAGGATGCTGCTCTGAACTCAGCATGCAGAACAATCCTAAACATTTTTTAAAAATAATTGAGAGGGTTTCTGATGAGGCTTGTTGTTTCCTTAGCATATTACAGCAATTACTTTTTCAGGTCATAGAAATATTATAGTATGCTCTAACATTTCACTGATTTAAGTAACAGAGTGCATAAGGTTTTCTTGATTTTTATTTGTGTAGTAAAATGCATGTGCTGGATCAGAATGCACAGCATTGCCCAAAGCGACACATATTTCCCCAAACTGCTATTACAATCTCCAGAGTTCCTACAGAAATATCATTTTTAATATGTCAAAAAGGATAAATACAAGGGAGTTATCATCTTACATTTTATTTAATACATTAAAAAGTAATTAAATCTAAGTTTAAATTGAATTTAGCTTTTGTTCCCTTTAACCTGCTTTTTAAAGTACAGCTGCTGCACATAATTCACAGGTTCAGTAGGGTGCTCACATCAAATCTAACAAGTTTATGATTCACAAATGCATTACTATTAGTTTCAGTTACCACTATTCTATTCATACATCCCAAAGTTACCTCGAAAAACAGCATCCAGTATATGATTTGTATGTTCATTCCTTCTTAGTGAATTTCAACATTTGCAGGTAAGCAGTCTAGATAGCAACAATCTAGATTGCATTAATTAATATTTGTATGGATAGATTTTCTATCTACAGTATATTAAGTTTCTATATGTACTATAAAATCTTTGTTATCATTCATTTACATTCTGCACTGTTTATAAGCTTATATAAAAAAATTCACATTTATTTTAGTATGAATTTCCCCAAATATATGTATTTTAGTGTAAATAATACACTGTGATACACAACTTTTGATCTGAGAAATAATTCAGAATATATGTTTTCATACCATATGGATTTTTTGCTTATTTGGACAACTGTTTGCTTTTATCACACATTATTTTCCTTTTAAAGAAAAGAATTACGGTTTTAAAGAAACTATAATTCTCACGTTTCTAAGCATGCCTCTCCTTGTCAAGCCATGCTTGTTTGTAGTTCCAACATATGGCCTATATTTGAGCAAATTATTCTTTTCCTATCTCCTTAAGAACTATAAATTCCACGCAGCAAATATAATGTAGCGTGAAATTAGTAATAATTATGAGATCAAAATATATTTATGAATTTCTTTTCTTTTTCTGTTTTAATGCCCTGTTGGGGAAAAAAGGAAGTAGTGTCAAAATGGAATGGAATGTGCACTTATACATGTCTAGACTTGCCAGATATTGACAATTTTGGATGCTTCCTCCCACTGGACCTACATAAAAGACTTCTTTTTAAAGTAAGACACCCCTAAGAATAGAAAGCAGAACAAGCCTGACTTTCACTTCCAGAATCATAAGATTGGAATGCCTTTCTGCATTCTCAGAAATGCGGATGGAAAAAGTAATATGAATATATATTGAGAACAGAGTCAGTTGCAAGGCATAGCAAGACCGGTGATTAAATAGCCTCAAACCAGTGAAGCAAAAACAAAAAATAACACTTCCTATTCCAGTATTGCCACTGCTTTTATTTTTCCAGACCTTATTAGCAGGCCAAAAATAAAATGGGGATATTCCTTGATGGTGAGAGTCTTGTCCAGGTGCCTACCAGGTGCCTTTACTGGTAGCATTAAAAGTAATTTAAATTCTAAATTTTCAGTCATCCAAAGAACTGTTAGATCTAGCAGCTAATAAACAGCATATATTTTGTAGATTCAACAGCTCAGACAAATGCAAATATGATTGAGCATATATGAATAAGGTATCTTTATTTTTCCTTTAGATGGCTACTTGATTTTTCAGAATTACATGTGGCTCTAGTTTGCTTTTTGCTTCTTTTGTGCCCGTCATAGTAACATTATATAACATCACTTTGAAAAGTAGCTTTGCAGCCAAGATCTACATTTAGCCTTTGAATTGCATGCTGCAGGTATTCTCCCCAAAGTGGGTGAACTACATTTCATTTTAATTTAAAGTTTGGTTAAAATGCATTTCATTTCTTTGCATATACTAATAGAATTACTGTCCATGTATTAATGGGGAGTCATCTAAATAATTATAATTTGATGGTAACTTTTGAGGCATAGAAACCACATATCTGTCTGGAGTATAGAGACATTGCTGATCACCCTTGCTTCCCTCTTCCCCCAGGAAGGTTTATCAAAACACTGCTGTGTCATATCAATGTGTTTTTTAAGATATACAGATAGTCCTTGACTTACGACCATTTGTTTAGTGACTGTCCAAAATTACAATGTTGGGATCCTTGGTGCTCTCTGAGCTTGGTTGTTTTCTTGCAGACGTTTCAGTACCCGAAACTAGGTAACTTCATCAACGCTAGTCATCAGTGATGCTGAAAAAAAGTGACTTACAACCAGTCCTTGCACTTAACAACCATCACAGCATTGCCACAGTCACATGATCAGAATTTGGACACTTGGCAATCAACATGTGTTTATGACAGTTGCAGCATCCCAGAGTTACCTAATCACCATTTGTGATCTTCCCATCCGGCTTCTGACAAGCAGAGTCAGTGGGAGAAGCCAGATTCCCGTAAAGACCATGATGATTCATTTAACAACTGAAACAAAAAAAGTCATAAAATTGGTAGTGTGGTTCACTTAACAACCACCTTGCTTGCTTTGGGCTCCAACTGTGGTTGTAAATTGAGGACTACTTATATTGTGAGGAGGAAGAAAATTATTGAAAGCTTTTTTGTTACATGTGACACAAAGAAACACATCCCCATTGCTATTTCCATTGAACTATTTATTCCTTTGGATGCAATTCGAAAAATGCCAGTAGTGGGTGGAATAAGGAATTTTTACCCAGCTGTAGACCTGAATCTATTTATTCTTGCTAATGGCCATCAAGAAAAGTGAGAGGATTGCAAATGACATCTCTTATGTGGACCCATTTTACTCAGGCTTTCAACTAGGAAATAGAATTGCCAATGTTCAGTCACCTGGTGAATGATTCAAACTGGAAATTGGGCAACATTTTGTTGTCCTACTGATTCTTGTAAACATGTTTGCAGCTTTCGGTGCTGTCTATTTGTGAGGTAACATGAGCAGAACAATAAATATCTCTTCAGAAAATCAACCCCATATTCAATCTAGCAGACGATTGTAATTTTGATAACACCTGGATAAATTGCTTTCTTGCAGAAAAAATTAGTTATACTCATGCAGGCAGTCTGCGTATTGCAGAACGTAGAATGATATGCATGAATTATGAATGAATGACAGAGCCAGAGATGAAATCCTAAGCATTTTCCTCTCATCTTGTTGCATCAACTGTCTCTTACTCATTTTTTCCCTAGCCTTGAGTTTAGTAAGCAGCTGGCCTGAACAGGGTTGGGTTCTTCGTCAACACTATCAACTCTTATACTCTGTTCCTCCCTATTTTCTCCTTCCTATTTAAAGATCCAGATGGATCTTCCCCTCCCTCAGTCTGTGAGAGACTGAAGGGTATTGTGTCTCTCTGTCTGTTTCCATATCTTTGCCAACTGGAGCTGACAAAGTCTCCTTCCCCTTCAAATTTCTGTACTCCTTCATTCTGCCTAAGGATCTTAATAATACATATACATTCTATTTGTTACCTTCTGGGAGGAGGCTTCGTGGTATCCGTGGTATCCAGATTCAGCCAGAGTTTCATTCCATACAGCATTAACCTTGCGAACTCTCAAGCTTCCTCCTTCCGTTATATATTCAAGATGGACAATATTTAATATTTATTTGCTGTATATGTAGGGATGTGGGTCTATACATATGTTGTTCATAGTATGTTTAGGTGTGTGTCATGAATGTGTTTCACTTTGAGAGCGGGCAACTAAATTTCATTTTTGATATGTGCCATCGTGCCCACAGTATAAAAATGACAATAAAGGTTATCTTATCTATCTTATCTTAAAATAAGAGATAATTTCCTATTTTCTCCCAATCTCCACTTCCAGTTGACTCCTCAAAGCAGAGCTTAGTTTCCATCTTATCTATTTTCTTCATCAGGAGCACCGCCCATTTCAAAACTCTTCCTTTTGAATGGGATAATCTTCATCTCTTATTAGTTGTATAGATGTCTCCTTTTCTATCCCCCAAACAATTTACCGGGTACTTCTTTCTTAGAGTCAGAACTGCAGATTATTGCCAAAGGTAGAATGGGTCACCAATTAGGTCATTTTGGTTGTGAAGGTATGTCAGAGAAAGTACAGAGCATGAATGTTGTCAGCAACATTTCTATATCTGAGTAACTCTGCCAATGAATCATGTCTTCTAGGTCTGGTCTTTCTGCAGTGAAACTCTAAAATACATTCCATGCCAATTCTTCTTCCCTCTCTCCATAACACAAATTGGTTCAAAGATGCACAACGGAGGAGAGAATCTGTGTGTAACTTTTAATGTGGCTGGAAACTGCAGAGTAATGTCTATAGTATTGATCTATGCAAGTATGACAAATGGTTCAACCAGCTTACATCTAGTTTCTTAGTCTGTTGGTTGACAGGGAGAAATCTGATACAAAGCCAGATGTGATCTTCAGCGACAGTGGAGGAGGAGGAGAGGGAAATGCTTCCTGCTGCTGACTGTCAATAGAATGTTTACACAAGACCTGGTGTGATCCAGTTGATCCATGAAAAGGTGCCAAGAGCTCAGCATTCCTGGAAAAGGGGAGAAGGCAAAATTTGAGGGACTGAGAAGCATATGGCAATAGATGTAGATAGTAACCATAGGTGGCCTGAAATGGCAACATCTGAGTAGAGGCATTATTGGAGTTATTATAAGCAAACACAGTAATAGGTAAAAGATCAAGCCAGTTTACATAGAGTTGGAGACTTGATCTTAGTGACA